TATATCTGTCTTTCTGTCTCTGTCTCTCTCTCTCTCTGCCTCTCTCTATGTCTCTATCTCTGTCTCTATCACTCTCTGCCTCTATCTCTCTCTGTCTCGACCTCACTTTGTATTTCTCTCAATAAATCTCCCTGTATCTCTATCTGTTGTCTCTCTCTCTCTAATTAGCCCTCTTTGTTTTCCTCTCTCTCTCTCTGTCTCTCTTTGTCTATCTCTTCGTTTCTCTCTGTCTCCGTCTTTTGCACTCTCCGTCTGACTGTCTCTCTCTTTTTCCCTGTCCATCATTGATCGAATACAATGTCCCGTATTTCGCTGGTGTTCTCTTCCCTTCTGAGACATTCCAACCTACCGTTCATTCCTCCCTCACAATCTCGCCAATTATAAATCATACAGCTTTTTTAGCCAACCTTGCTGTAGACGTTGCTTTCATTTATCCTCAGTATTGTTCTTAACTTTCGACGTCGACTGGCTGTCTTCATCGACCATTCCAGTATGGAATATACAAGACTCTTCAAGTCTGTGTTCTTTTTCCATAAATCAATATATTTACTTTTTAAATTTATTTTCTTCCCGTTTGACTTTCGTCTTCTTTAGGGGATTTTGACGGGTAAGATGTTATATTCAATGAGTTATTTGGCCATTCTCAGGAAAATGCGGGTCTCGGTAGTAGCCTACACTATTTTTAAAATTTTATATGTATGTAACTTTGCTTTGTATAGTTTGTATTTATGGTGTGGAGGTGGATGGGAGGTGTTTATGAGAATATAAGGCACATGAGTTTATGAATAGGATGGGTAGAAGAGAGAATACTTTGGAAATCTGGATATAATGTGCGTTTTGCGAAGGATAATATACATATTGACCAAGATTGATATTAGAGTGTTGGGATTCCATGAGAAGAAAATATAAATTTTGAGAGACTTTTCGAGAATAAAACAGAATTTGAAGTTCTCGCTGAATTTTTTAATTGTATCCTTTCTGTTCTCACAACGCTATTCATAACTTCTCAATCGACATCAAAGTTGTTCTCTTCTCTTGTTAATGATGCCGTTTCTAAGATATTTTGATTCAATGTTTCTGATTTTTCATTATTCCCGTCCTCATGGCACCAATAACCTAACCATCCTTCACAACTTTCTCCTCTCCTTCACAACTGGTTCAACGCAGCAGGATCACGCGCACGATTTTTATGTTGTTGTTATATATAATTTTATACGATTTATATACGATTTTTATGTTGTTGTATATATATAAATTTCACCGTATCTACTTCTGTATCCTAATTATTGTCTATAGAACTTTTGAATTATTACGACCTCTTGGTAATATGCGTAAAAGATTCTTCCTTAAAATTTGGTATATATTTAGCTTACATCTTGAATTCCGAGTAATTGCTATAAAAATGGCACAATGTTTCGTGTGTCAGATAACGACTAAAAATACACGTTTCCGCTGAATATCATAAAAATGCATCTGAGAAATTTGCCCAGTTCTACCTTAAGATAGCCTACATCCCTTACATCCAAAACATGAATACCTACAAATGTGGTGATATGTTGCCTGTTTGTGACTCATCATCGATTTCTCTTGTTCTTCAAAAAACGAACAAGTTATAGAAGATGATGAAATCGCCGTGTCTTCGTAAATATGACGTTCTCTGCAAGGGCCCCAACGCTCTCAGCTGCTCGTCGCGTGACGCATTTCATTCGCTCTCACCGCGGCCTCTGTCACCCGTGCAGCGACCGGCGCCCTTGCGTCGCCGCCGCCATCACCCTGCGCCTGACCCGGCGCGGGTCTGGCGGCACGGCGGCGGTGACTGTGACGGGGGTAGTGGCGAGGCGGTGGCGGTGGGCAATGGCGGCAGCTGACCAGGGCGCGGTCAGGCACAATGCGATGCGCGGTGGTAGTGGTGAGGCGGCGGAGTCGGTGGCAGCGGCGCGGCTGGTTGTGGCGGCGCGGTTGGACGGTTGACGGTGGCTAGTGGCATGCGCGGTGGCGGTGCCAGTGGCCGGCGTGACCGCGGCGCGGTCAGGGCACATGCGCTGGATGGTCTGCGGCGCCTGGGTCGGTGGCGGTAGCAGTGGCCGCGGCAGTGGCAGTGGCGGTGGCGTGGCGGTTGTGGTGGCGTGGCAGTGGCGTGGCTTGGCAAGCGGTGGTGGTGGACGGCGTCGGTCGGCAGGCGGGCAGCGGCGGCCGGCGGAGGCGTGGTAGGGCGACGGGCGGCGGTGGAGTTAGGGGTGGTGACAGGTGCGTAGTCGTCGTCGGGCGGTGGAGTGCAGCGTCGGGTGGTTGGCAGCAGCGGCGGCCGGGGGGGGGCAGGTTGACAGTGGCAGGCGGCGGCGGTGGAGGTTGCGGCGTCGGCGGACGATGCGACAGCGGCGGTGGCGTCGGCGTCGGCGTGGCAGCGTGCCGGAGCGCGGGGTCGGGGCGGGCGGCGGGTGAGGGAGGCGGTGGAGAGGGGAGGGGAATAAAAACTAGAGGCGGCGAGCGGCGGCGGCGGAGGCAGTCTCGCGTAGTGGCGGCGACGGGGCTTGCGGCGATGACGGAGGCGGTGGGGGTGGCACGGCAGCGGCGCGGAGCGTTGCGGCCGGGGTCAGGCGCAGGGTATGGCGGCGAGCGACGCAAGGGCGCCGGTCGCTGCACGGGTGACAGAGGCGCGGTTGAGAGTGCGAATGAAATGCGTCACGCGACAGAGCAGCTGAGAGCGTTGGGGCCCTATGCCAGAGAACTCATATTTACGAAGACACGGCGATTTCATTCATCTTCTATAACTTGTTTCGTTTTTGAAAGAACACAGAGGAAATCGATGATGAGTCAACAAAACAGGCAACATATCACCACATTTGTAGGTATTCATGTTTTGGATGTAAGGAGTAGTAGCTTAGGTAGAACGGGGCAGAATTCTCAGAGCATTATTTATGATATTCAGCGGAAACGTGTATTTTTAGTCGGTTTATCTGACCACAAAACATTGTGCCATTATTTATAGCAATTACTCGGAATTCAAGATGTAAGCTAAATATATACCAAATTTTAAAGGGAAGAATCTTTTACGCATGATTTACAAGAGGTCGTAATAATTCAAAATTCGGATAGACAATAATTAGGGATTACAGAAGTAGATACGGTGAAATTTATATATTTACTGGTACAACAACATTAAAAATCGTATATTAAATCGTATAAAATTATAGATATAACAACATACATAAAAAATCGTGCGCGTGATTCCTGCTGCGCTTTGAACCAGGTTGGAAGCGAGAGGAAGAAAGTTGTGAAGGTATGGTTAGGTTATTGGTGCCATGAGGACGGGAATAATGAAAAATCAGAAAACATTGAATCAAGAACTATCTTAGAAACGGCATCAATAACAAGAGAAGAGAACAATCTTTGATGTCGTTGAGAAGTTGATGAATAGCGTTGTAGAGAACAGAAAGGATACAATTAAAAATTTTTAGCGAGCAAACTTCAAATTCTGTTTTATTCTCGAAAAGCCCTCTCAAAAATTTATATTTTCTTCTCATGGAATCCCAACTTAAGGACTGATCTCTCAACTACTTCTACATACTTACACAGGTTCACGCATCTCTAGCTCATATGCTACCTCGCATACTACACGTGCGTACAGGAGACCAGCACCATGTGAATCATAAATAACCCTGAGTATTATACATTTCAACAGTATTCTCTCTAATACTATCCCATCCATATTCATAACATACTCATGTAGACATCATGTATTTGTATTGATTCCTCATAATATCTCCTCGCGATCCACCATCTCACTCACATTGAATATACAGAACAAAATAACTACAGCAAAGTTACATACATATAAAATTTTAAATGGAAATAGTGGTAGAGCTACTGCACGCCGAGAACGTCCGACATCTCTTCCTGGAGAATGCCAAAAGGTACT